TCGATCCAGCTGATGCGAGACGAGCATGCAAGTCCCTCGCTGTGCTTCCAGCCAACCCCTTGCAGTGTCTCGTGACTATGGCACCCTCGTACGAGGACCTGGATTGGACGCGACTGATGAAGCTAACGTTCCGAGTCGAGGTATAATTTATCTCACTGCAATCGTGATCGTTGTGCTAATTAGCTGCATAGTTCGTCAAAGATTGGCTAGTAAATATAGGAGTATGGTGAGTTTCTGTTTACGAGGTTCCGAATGCTTGGTGTGACCGGTCATGTTTAGGGGATTCACTATTTCCTGGGTTTTCCCTGTGTCTATCCTTGTTGGTCTGGTTTCCATACAGAACATCAGCAGCTTCTGGCCTCAGTTGGTGCGTCTACAGTCATATCAGTTTATGCGTCGAATTATTTACGAGTAAAAATGGCAGAGTACGTATCTTGACAAGCACCCGTGGGAAGAAGAGGTGCTGCAATCATTCGTACCGACGGTGCTAGTTTCCCTTTTGTCTCTCCTGATTCCTTTATTATTGCGTAAGTCAATAACCCGACGAGTGTGCCGTATTTTTGCTCATCAGACGTCGATTATACTGACAGTACTGATTGCGAAGAAAGCGCATACGATAGCTACTCTGTCCACCCTACACGACCGAATCATGACTCGGTACTACAAGTTCCTCATTGTCAACGTCCTGGTTTTCTTCTGTGTTGGAACGGCGACCTTGCAGTCATTTCTTGTGTCCCTCAGCTCTACATCGGGCCTGCAAGTGATACAGATTGTGGCGGGTAGCTTCCCAACCGCAGGACCATTCTATGTTGGATGGCGTGAGCAAGCTAATTCTATCTATTCAGGCCTGTTCTAACGATTCGCAGTGATTTTTACTACTGCAATGCATGGAGGAATCGAGCTCGCGCTATGTAAGAGTGGCTTTCGCTGCCTTGAAATAGTAATGCTGACCTGCTTGACGATTCCTCAGTTGGAGTGGGTTGAATGATTGGTATTATTAAGGTTTTATCTCACCGGATTTTGTCAGCTCCCTCTGCTGTTATATCCATCTACGAAACGGCAGCTGACCCCTCGCAAACGGGCCATCGGCATACGCCCGCGTACCTTCAACTATTATTGTACGTTCCCACGAGGTCCCTAGCAGCTCACGTTCTCATACAACACCTTCTAGACTGGCTACCGAACCATGTTCTAGTTGTACATGTGGTGCTAGTGTTTGCGGTTCTCAATCCTCTGGTGATCCCGTTCAGCTTCGTCTACTATTGCGTTGAAGCTAGTGAGTCGGACCAGCTGAATATCGTAGGATAGGATAGCTGACGGGAGTACCAGCGGTCATTCGGAATCAGGTGCAGTAGGTGTAAGTGTGCCGTAGCACGGATCTAATGGTCTCATGTAGCTCTTGCATGTGTATGCGAAGAACTACGAGGGCAACGGACAAAGGATCTTGATCAGGATTATCCGATACTCTTGCGACGGTAATCAGTTCCTCGGCTTTATTGAGAGATAGTATTGACCGGGTTTACAACCACAGGGCTAATCTTGGCACAGGTTGGCGCTGATACATTGAGAGTACTCTCGATCCGGGCTATAATCATATCTCCTAGGTTGTTTTCTTAGCCTACATGGTCGTCCTCAAGAAAACAGTCAATATCGCAGTATCGGCCGTCCTCGTAGTGCTAACAGCCGGCGGCAAGCTGCTGTACGTGTCTCGTCCTCAATTTTCGCGACTGACGGCTGATTGTTCTTTGCAGCTTGACCAGACTGTGCAGAGCCAAATTCGAGTGCGACGATCTCCTCGAGGCACAAATTTTCTGTGGGACAGGAAGTGCCACTGAAGAGTTACTCGATGAAGTGCAGCCTATCGAGAATGACGCTGCTGAGGCAGATTCACTGAAGAGGACTCGGCAGCATAAAGGCTCGCATACATTGCCCGCGCGAGTTCACCCGACTCGTTTTCCTGACAGGATCGATGATGGCCATGCTACAATTCCGAGACGGCCATACCATAGGACACGCAGAGGGTCTATTCCATTTGGATCTTCGCAACTGGGTCTTATGGAGGACGCTAAGGAGATCAAGGCCGTCAGTGGCAGTTCTCCCGTCATTAATGACGGTAGAGAATGCGGATTTGACGGAAAGGCCGAGGTTTCCGTTTCCGAGCGGGCTCTGCCGTCCAAGCCTGTGATGCCACATCCTCCGCATCCTGCATGGGACGACGAGTCCTCTCCGGACGTTCCATACGACAACCCATATTACATCCGTCCGATTCACGACGAGCTGTGGCTGCCGCGTGACCCGCTCGGCCCTCTCGACCTCGACGACACGGTCAACGTCCACTTGTGCTTGACGACGCAGCCCGGTTCCGCCAGGCTCGGCGCATGGCGGGAGGACGAGTATATCGCTTCAGGCGTCTCTTCCATTCTGGTCAGCCGAGGGAGTGCAGGTGGAACAGGCGTTCGTGCCTATAATGCCATGGCTCCGTTAAGACGACTTAACGGCAATGAGAAGATCGAGTTGCCGCCGGAGATCGAGTCTCGTTTGCAGACGTTGGACAGAGAGGGCGATGCGGAAGTGGGCATGGCTTCTTGGCCGCCTCATAGGCAGCACGGATGGCGACAGTGGAACAGCAGTGGCCGGTATTCATCGCTGGAACTCGGCTTGGGGGAATCCATCGTGCCAGGTCGGAACGCATCGCGAGGCCTGAGATCGACTCTCCGCCATGGTCTCCCATCCACATTCTTTACGTTCCCGCGTCGTTTGCGCCAGGTCCGCTTTGATTCTACGGACGAAGAGATGGACGTGCGGCAAGGAGAGCACTTGGCTCCAGCTGTTCCTGACGGGCTGCCGGTTACGAGTACTGGAATGAGCGCTGTGGGCGGAGTTGTCTTCCTTAGGGAGGCGGTGGTCGGTGAGGTTATTGTAGAGGAGGAGGCAATGCAGGATCGCCTGAGGTACGAGGATCGCCTGAGGTACGAGGAGGCTGAAGAAGAGAGGATAGAAGAGCCGCGTTCCTGGTGGGCATCTTGGGTATTCGCCGGCGGGCAGTGAACCTTTTGTTCCGGTCCTAGTCTTTTTCTCCTGGATACTGTTTCTGAGACTTTTTGCGAGGACATGTGCAATTGATCACTGTAAATTCATCTGATGTCTCTTATGTATCACTCTGACATCAGGCTCCCGAAAGTATAACTGTCCTCGCGTGTATGATAATACATCCCATTGTCCGCGAATGTCCCAGTGAACCCAAAATGTGAGGCTGAGTCAGTCATTTCTCCAGACAACTTGTCCTGCCGCCCAGCGATCGCCCCACATCATCCGTTTATGATACACCTTGCGTAGTTCCTTGAACTCCCGGACAAAGTCGTCGATATCTTTGCTGTTCGCAGCGACTGGCGATGGCTCTGCAGACGACGCTTGGACGAATTCGGATGCACGGGCTTCTGAGATATCGTCCTGGGCGACCGTGGCGTGTCTCAGCCGCATCAAAAGGAATTGTGGAGTAAAGCGCTGATTCACAGGTCAACATATCTGAAGGAGGGGGTATCAAAGAATGAGATGGAGCAGACCTGGTACACCTCTTTTTGCTCCTTTTCCACTTCTTTCCATCTTGCTTCCAGACTCTTGGCTTCGTCGAACGCTTGCTGTGTATCATTGCGCAGCTTATAGAGGGCATCCTGCAACGCGAGGTTGTTCTCTGCTGGAATGAGTAGAACAGCCTTTGACTGTCAAGGCAGACGCACTTGCTATGGTCTCATTTGCGCTTCCAAGCTCGGCTTGTGCCTGGTACAGAGACTCGACCCGGTTCAGAGAGTGGAATATCGCCTGCAAATACACAGGATCGACGAGGAGCTCCTCCAGGTCTTCTCTCCTATATGATATAAGCGTATGGTGAGACAGCAGCTATGATGGCCTGAATTTCGTGATTCACGATAAATGGGAGAGCTCGGGAAATTCTGCGAGCAAGGGGTCCGCCATGGGCGTAGTAATGAAGCAGCCACAGGTAGCGCGGGCCCGACAACTAGATCACATCGAGATCCGATCTCACTAAGGCAGCCGCAGTGTATACGTGCCATTTCTCTTCGACCCGCATACCATGCCTCCTCAGGCTCAACATGCCTCTGCACAAATATCCGAGTCGGAAGTCTCAGCGCTTGCTATTTTGAAGCGCAGCTCACCACGGCGGCAGGATCTCCTCATCATTATGATCATGAGTCAACTTGGGCTTGGCTTGCGAAATGCGAGCATTTATCGATGATCCTTTGCGCTGGACGCTCGGGCGGTGATATACCGCAAACCACTCATTGTCGGAAAACATGTATTACTCTCACGACATGCTACGACATATTCCGCATACTGCATAGGATGCAAACATGTGGACCTTCCCGTCATCCCCTAGCTAACTCGGGAACTCCGAAAACGTTGCTCTGCATGTGCTCTGATGCAACAACGACTCGCCGATCACGACAAGTCTTCGCAGCTCGGCCAGATGACCATCTCAGCAGCTGCAGCTGATCGTGGTGTTAGTCATCGTATTTCGAGTCAGGCTGTTGAGCACGCAGGTGAGCTCGTTCGGCTTCGGGTACGCATCGCTGTATGGCAGCGCGCTCGGCGCCCACACATTGTTGGGCCAGCCACCGACGAGTGCTGTGGCGGTGGCGCCTGCAGAGAGCCAGGGTGCGACGGTGGATGCCTTGCGCCCCGCGTGTCCGAGCTGGATGCCGATCTTCTGGTTCTGCGAGTGCGCGAAGGTGACGATGTCTTGGAGCGGGGGATCTGCTCGTCGCACCAGAGGCCGGAGTCTTCGGGCGTGATGCGGCCCTCTGGGATTACTGAGGTGGCCTCGATCATGCTCAGGCCGGGACCGCGCTGGATGATGCCGCCGACTATGGGGATGTGAGTGGGTGTGCGTTAGGACGTGAAGGATAGAGGAGTGCGCACGGTGGGCGAAGTGCCAGGGAGTGAGCTTGCCATTCTCGGCGGAGTACTGGCACATCGGAGAGAGCTACGTAGCGCAATATTGCCATGCTGTGGATCAGCATGTAGAGGCGGATATCAACGCATATATTCACACATATGCGGTTGTGGAACTCGAGGCCGCGGATTTTGAGGGGCTGGAAGAGCGTCGGGATCGGCTTCTTCCCTGTGTCCACAGCGGTACCGGAGGCGGGGTACTGTGCGGGCGTGTAGTAGGGCACGCGCGGCGCCGGAGGATTTGCGATATTCACGTCGCCCATTTCTGCACTAGTGTATGGCAAGAGGAGAAATGAGGAAGGTGACGCTCGAGGGAACGGAGAATCCGTTCGCGATATATGGAGCAATTGAGCGTAGCTGACGGGCTCGCAGTCGGTTGACGTCGATTATGTTTTGAATGGCAGTTTGTCATACTCCATATCAAGGTTTTGAGGTGTACGTCCACAAGACTTGTTTCGCCATCCATACAGAAGTACTTTTCTATCTGCCTGTGCAGGACCTCCAGCCGATGATGCATCCGAAGACATTGTTTCAGCACTGTGCATCGTTGTTCCGTGTTCGTCATGGGCCTGCGTGTGCCAAAGGCATTCGCAACCTATTCGAACAAACCCTCTCGTTGAAACTATCTTTACCTACCGCATGGACGGAGAGCACACCCCAAGTGTTGTCAGCATATATGAGCACATAGGTTGTAGTCCGCGCTTGAATGCGACGCGTGACGTCACGCGTGTTCTTGTCTCACGGGCGTCTACTTGAACTCACGTATCAATATTCAATGCTCATGCTCATGAGGAATTTTCTTTCTTCAATTTCTTTTTGCTGGCAGTTGGACTAGATAGTGTCTGACACTTTTTTAAACGACCGCTATTCAATGTCTGAACGACCTCTCTGGCCTCCTGGGGCTCCCCCAACGTTATCGGGAGAGCACCGATAGCCATCTCGTGTACTGATGGAGACGTGAAGGACACATTCGTATCAGGTGCTGTTCACACCCACGAAAACTCAGCATCGGTCAACCTACAGTGACCCATCAGGTACCGTGTCGGAGTTCAATGTGCTGGCCCTGATCCGCGCGCTGCTACATACGTCGTTGCTCCCCATTACAGAGGCAACTCACTCCAGAGCCTCGACATCTGATGCACGGTCTGCTCGTACTGAAGTGGCCGAAGATGAAGCCTCTCGCTAGTCTCTAGTCACGCATCATGTATATTCCAATCATGGCCTTGGAATTTGTACGAAGCTGTGCGACCGTTACATCTCGCTCTCTGAAGCGCCCATTCTTCCACATCTCTCTGTGCTACAAATCATTCGCAAGGGCTTCCTGCTTCGTGGCATCAACAGCTAACATTCCAGATGCAGTAGTACTAGCTAATCGACGATCGATACATTGATGATCAGGTGCATATCCTCCACTGCTGTACATAATGACTTGTTTCTTCTCCAGCGCCACCTCCGCACGTCGTCGTCTCAAAGCCACCGCACGAGCTTAGACGACACCACTGTTAACAATGATGATCGTCTCTTTAGGTACACCAGAATCGGTGGCATACGAGGCAATCTCCTTCACAACGGTGTCGTAGCCTTCAACGACTTCGCCTGGATAGAAAGATCAGACAAATGTCCTGGCGCAAATCAAATGAGGACATACCGAAAACAACGTGGGCACCGTCGAGCCATGAAGCGGGGACAGTGGTGATGAAGAACTGCGAGCTATTGGTGTCCTTTCCGGCGTTCGCCATTGAGAGCAAGCCAGGCTTGGTGTGCCTGACCCTGAAGTTCTCGTCTAGGGAGCCGCACCCTGCATAAGCGGCATTGGCCTAATGGGATCTCAAAAATGACTTACCCTCGAATCTCCCACCATAGATGGACTTTCCGCCCGTGCCATCCTTCTGCGAGTAGATGACGGCTAATGCTAGCTGACCACGCGCAATCTCGATGTGGTACGTACGTTGATGTTGTCACCGCCCTGGACCATGTAGTTGGTGATACGATGAATGGGACAGTTCTTGTAGCCGAGATCGCTCTGCCTAATGGAGAGCTCGCGGAAGTTCCTCGCCGTCTTCGGGACGACGTCGTCGTACAGCTTGAAGACGATGCGCCCGAGGGGCTTGCCATCGACGGTGATATCGAACTGCCAGCACGGACGACGATGAGCACGTCACTTGTAAATGATGCGCTCTAATGGCTGGGTACTCACAAAGACGTTCTGCTTGGACATGGTAACTGGGATGATCGGAGTGGTGGTGAATACGGGCAGGGACCGATCCGATGGTCTAAGTTGTGACAATCGGTAACAATCGGTCACAATCGGTCACTTCAGTGGGTACCCACTGTGCCGAGAGATGAATTGTTTGAGCACTCACGAATATCGCACGCAGCGGACATTGCATGCATGACGAAAAAAATGCGATGGGTACTCCTCGTATGCATGAGACCTTAAGGACTGACGCGGAAGACTCTTGAAGGCCGTACCGGTTCTCTTCACATCGCGTAAGGGTCATCGACGTTCGCAAATTCAAGAATGTTATATCGCCAGCTATCGCTGCTGGCGGTATCTCTGGCGGCCGTCGCCCCTTCGACGCTTGCTCATACGGTCGGAATTTTCAGGATAGAGGCCACACGCTTGTCAGCGCTATGATGGTGCGTGAACTTTCCGTCGGTCCCGCGATATCGGTCACAACTTTCCGTGTAAGATGTTCGTGGGCAGCGAGGAGATTGAGTAATTCTCGACAAGGCGGAGGGCAATGCCACACATATCAACGGGCACCCCGCGTGGGGCGCAGCCTACAACATTGGCAATCGGTCGGCGGTTCCTATGCAGGTCCACGCCAACACGTTCTGCGCGTTCGGCATGCATCTGCCCAACGGTTAGTACGCAACCTTCGGCGGCAACGGCGCTGTTGGCCCGGGTGGCGACAGAGGCAACGTGCTCGCTCCAAGCCGCTATTCCGCGACGTACGACACGGTATACGACGACTTCTCGGGCTCGACGTCTATTCCCCGGATCCTGAACCCATGCTCATGGTCGGACTTGGATAACACCGAGTGCGCGTGGTACGATAACGTGACGGGGCTGCATATGCAGCAACTCCGCCGGCCGCATCTATGCTGCCTTCGAGTGTGTGGTGGGCTACCCTCGCAAATGCGCAATCCTTGCCCCATAATCTGTCTGTAGATACATCATCCATATCTCAATGGAAGTGCTGACCGATGTAACGGATCTCCCTGCGCCTTCATTAAGATATCGTTACGCGTATTCCTACATCTCATGTATGTTGATTGCTATCTGACTATCTTGGTGTTCATCAACGAGGGCACGTATTTGATATCTCATCCTGAGCACGTATTCACGTATGAGCGTTACCACTACCGTCGCACCTTGTCAGTTTGAACGGAATCCGAGCAATTAATATGGCGTAACTCACTCTGTTTAAAGGGAGGATGTGAACACACTTGACTGAACCACCCGGCAGAAGCCGCGGCAGCATGGCGAAATGACAGAGCACATCTGCTATCGTGAGCAACTGGATCTCGGGTTTGAATGCATCGTAGAACAGTTGTCCTCCAGCTACTGCGAATTCTCGATAGGGATCCAAGCGCAAGTCCTGTCGCGTTAACGGGACAAACTCCCTTACAGCGAAATAATTTTGAACGTAGCTGAATCCTTCTTGACGTTGTTCATATCGGAATATGTGCACAATTTGCCCTGCCCTCCACTGCCCCGATATCTGGCTAGGAAAAATGACATTGCTATCTCTGGGGGAATAGTCGGATACTTTGTATAAGGCACCGTGATCCTCCAAGCTGTCGAGTCGGACTACGTATGGGTTGATAAAACCTGTCCAGCTTTGATGGCCAGCCAGTGAATAATCTGTTTTCATTCGATCGTGAAGTAATTTGATGATGTTATCCGGCAGGAGGGAATAACCAATTGACTTAAGTCGCATGTGTCCATCGGAGGAGGAGTGCGCGGACTGGGACTCTGACGATCCCAATGCCAGGATCTCAGCGAGAAGAGTACTTCTTGTATTGGATTGAAATGAATGCACGAACTTTGGGATCAACTCGCGAACGGCCGGAGGCAATGTGAGGGAAGTGAATGAATTC